GCCCTTTTATTCAATTATTCATGTATTCAACAGCTGGATACTAGGTGCCTACTATGCATCAGGCCCCGTGCTAATGCTGAGGATACACAAACAGGCACTGCAAAGCCCCTTTTCCCACTGAATCTCATTCCAGTAGGGAATGGGGCCAGGGGCAGATTTACTGCACACTGCTGCATGTTGGACCTGGGGTAGCTTTGTATTAAAAAGATGTATATATAATACATATGCTGTGTAAACAAGTAATGTAATAGGTAGAGAGGTGCCATAGAAGTTGTCATAAAAGTGCTTTGGGACAGAGAAGGGGAAATGACTCATTCTGCCCTGGGGAACTGGGGAGGCTTCAAGGTGAAATCTGAGATAGGGCTTGAAAAGGAGCTGGACTTCGCTGTGTGGAAGTGCAGAGTGGGGAGTGCCTTCTGGGGGAGGCATAGTTGACTCAAAAGCATTGGCAGCTTTTTTTTAATTGATTATGCCATTACAGTTGTTCTATTCCCCCCTCATTCCCCTCCACCCTGCACACCCCCATCCCCACCATTCCCCCCTTTAGTTCATGTCCATGTATCTCAAGTTCTTTAGATTCTATATTTCCCATACTATTCTTGCCCCCCCATCTATTTTCTATCTACTGTCTATGCTACTTATTTTCTGTACCTTCTCCCCCCTTCTCCTCCTCCCACTCCCCTGTTGCTAACCCTCCATGTGATCTTCATTTCTATGGTTCTGCTCCTGATCTAGCTGTCCTCTTAGTTTGCTTTTGTTTTAGGTGTGGTTGTTAATAACTGTGAGTTTGCTGTCCTTTCACTGTTCATCTTTTTTATCTTCTTTTTCTTAGGTAAGTCCCTTTAACATTTCATATAATAAGGGCTTGGTGATGATCAACTCCTTGAATTTGATCTTATCTGAGAAGCACTTTATCTGCCCTTCCATTCTAAATGAAAACTTTGCTGGGTAGATCAATCTTGGTTATAGGTCTTTGGATTTCATGACTTGGAATACCTCTTTCCAGCCCCTTCTTGCCTGTAAGGTCTCTTTTGCTTTATAGGAACCAGTTTGTTCCCAAAAGGGGGAGTAGCTCACTCCTCGGAGCCTTTGCTGGTGGGAGGTGACAAGGGAGCTGAAGCTGGGGTGGTGGCTGAAGCCAGGGGGTGAAGGACCTCAGAAGCCACGTGAAGGAGTTGGGCCTTGGGAAGCCATTGGAATAGAAGACGAGACTTGATCAGATTTGTGCTTCAGCAAGATTAGCCTGGGACCTGTGAGGAGGGGCTGTTGGAATGGAGAGAAGCTGGTAGCAGAGACCGTTTGGGAAGCATTTGCAAAAATCCTGGTGAGAGCTGATGACTCAGTGAGGGCAGTTGGGCTTCTTTTTACTTTCGTCTTGGTTTCTAAAAATTTTCGAAAACCAAAATGTAGAAAAACTGTACACACAAATATGTCCATGTTAGCTTCTGCATTGTTGTCTACACATTCACGCAATTGAAAAATGATATCTTTTTTTTAAACTTGTAGTGTGTGACCTCGGTGGTCGCTGAGCTAGTCTGTCCAGTGCACCGCAGTGGGGACGGAACACAGCACCTGTGTCTCGGAACCAGGCCGTAACATGGGCACCCCACAGGACACTTGCCACCACCCCTGCAGTGGCCTCCTTACAAGGGTCACCCTCAAGCTGGCTGATGCGTGGAGATTAGAACTTGCTTGTGTATCAGCTTTTAGAAGTATTTCTTCATCAACAGGTTCACAGTTTAAATATTTGAAGATATTTTTGAAAACTTTTGATCATCAAGAACTGGGGACAAAAACGTGTTCCTCTTTTCTGGAATGCCTCTAGGGGACCTGCGGTCACAGCTGGCAGCTCTCAGTGACAGTGCGGGCCAGTCCTGCTTCAAAAAGGCAAACCAATGACATTTAAAAGCCGGTCCTTGCTGGGTGCCCATCCCAGGCAGATCTCACTCTAGAACTAGACGGACAGCTTTGGGTAGCTGATTGGCTGTGTTGAAAGACAGAGAGGAGAGAGTCAAAAGATTCTGAGGTAAGATCACCAGCTTCTGGTGAATAGTTGGACATGTTGAAAGGCCAAGGGGAGGAATCAAAAGCGTTTCCGAGGCTTCTCCGGTGGCGTTTGGGTGGAACCATTCAGAGGCAGTGTGGGAGACTACGGCATCCGCTGAGCTGCTTCCAGCCCCGTGAAAGGGGGAGCAGGCCTTCGACTTCAGTCCTTGTTTTGTCAGTCATGCTGCTCCCCTGGAGCCTGCATCCATCCTCACAGCCTCATCCAGCTGTGATTTCCAAGTTCACGCACGGGGACAGGGTTCCCCACGGCTTCTGGTTTCCTTGGTGTGTGTGAAATGAAAACAGGTGGCCGCAGTACATGCAGACAGCAAGCGGGAAGAGGAGCTGATCCTTGGACAGGGCTTGGGGTCCAGGCGCAGGCAGGGAAGTGGCTCCTTGGTCAGGGACGCCAGGTGCTGGCTCTGACCTGCCCCCCCCCGCCCCCCGCCACTGCAGGCCGTTCTTTTTCCTTTGCCGCAGCCCAGGCTTCGTGGCTGTGAGAGTTTCTCAAGGCCAGTGGCAGGGATTAGACTTTTCATGATGCTTCAGTGTCTCAAGTACATGACTAATACTTGAAAGAATTAAGAGAGTTCTTTATTTTTAATTGCATCTCCTTGTTTGGTATGTGACTCAGTTAATTCATTCTTGTTGTGACTGTATTGGGAGACCCTGTTCCCCCTTGACCTCTCCTTGTCATTATTACTGTCATCCTGCTCTGAAGCACTGTTGTGATTACACACTGAACCTCCCTCTCACCGCTGCATGGCCGACAGGCCCACTGCTCGGACTCAAGGACAGTCTCAGAGTGGTTCTTGTCCTTAGCGGGTCGATGGCCTCTCTAGTCAGCCCCTTTCCTCCATAATTCTGTCCTTTCCCCTTTAGGAGGTCTTGGGCATACATTCCAACTTGAACAAGACCAGCACTTGTCTCTGAGTGCCAAAGGTCAGTGTGGGCCATTAACACAGATAAATCAATAAATGTGCCTTACCGCGGTTGGCATTGCCGGCAGGTGCCTCACAGCAAACCTTACTGCAATTTCACCATCATTCCATCACTGCCCCACCCACCCTTCTTTCCAAACACACCTGCACTTGTTTCTCTTTCCCATAGATTATACTATCTGGCAAGTCTGCATGAAAGTGAAAATTGATCCAGTCGATGGACCCAAATACAGGTGGCGGCCTATATTTGGGAAGCAGTTGTAATCAAACTGAGTGAAATAAAGTTCTCTGTTCCCAGCGTTTTCCCTGAGTGGTGGTCTGAGAATTTCTGTCTGCTTGGATCTATGAGAAGTCCTTCCTACCATGTAATTATCACCACATGCTCCTGGCTGCGTAAGGCAGTGCTGTGCTATAAGAAGATTCACTGTAATTGACTGGGGTAAAGGACAGGATACTAGCCCCGTAAATCATTTGTCTTCTTCAAAGTAAGACCTAAGGGCCTTTCAGTGGTCCAGGCAACTGTCCTGGAAGCATCTATTCCTCTCTTTTTGGTACTTCCTCTGTCTCCCGTCTCCTTGTATTTCTATAGAAGGAATGTCTGTATGGTCCAGGCAACTGTCCTGGAAGTATCCATTCCCCTCTTTTTGGTACTTCCTCTGTCACCTGTCTCCTTGTATCTCTATAGAAGGAATGTCTGTATGATCCATTGATGTTCAGGGAGAGGAAATAAGGTTAAGAGAGTTAAAGGTAATCTTATGGATGATGGTGAGAAAATAAAATATTTTAAGATGACAGAGGCTATATTAACATCCATTTATTTCATTCGTGGCTGGGAATTCATGTGCAGATAATTTGGGTCAGTCACCATTGTCCCAAATACAACGGGACGTTGGGGAAATGCAGGTTGTGCACTTGTGCGGTAGAGAGTTTTATGCGGAGGAGTGTCTCGGTCGGTTCACACTATAACAAAACAACGTAAATGTATTTCGCACAGTGCAGGAGGCTGAGTGTCTAAGATCAAGGTGCCAGCGTGGGCATGTAAGGGCCCTCGTCTGGGTCACAGACTTTTCACTGTGACCCCCACATGGAAGGAGTGAGGGATCTCTGTGCCACTTTTTCTGTAAGGACATCAAACCCATTCATGGGGGCTCCACCTTGCGGACCTAAGTACTTGCCAGAAGCCCCAGCTCCTGACACCAACCCTGAGGGGTTGGGATCTCCACTTAACAAATGTGGGACACAGACATTCAGATCAGAGCAAGCAGCTTGCACTTGTCATCCCTGGGCCTCTGGGACATAAGTTCCCAGGCAAAGATGCTGTGGCACCCTTTTGAACGTAGGGTAAAACTTTTTGTTATAAAGGGCAGTGAAAGCATATTTCCTTCCAAGGGATTTCCTTCCATTTGTTTTCAAATCAGAATCTGAGACTCAGCATTTTTGATTTACTATCTTGTGGCAAAATCTACATATACGGAATTGTCCCACGCAGCTCAAGCATTCAGCAGTTTTTTATTGAGTACCGTGTAGAGCAGACACAGCGCCGAACCATGCTACCAGTCTAGCGGGGGTGTCAGACTCTTGTTCACGGGGGGCCACGTCAGCCACATGGTTGCCGTCAAAGGGTCAAATGGAATTTCACCTCCTTAATAGTTAAGAAGTGGTTACATTTTACAGTCCTGAAATTATTTCGGTCCTTTGAAGGCAACTGTGAGGCTGATGTGGCCCCCGATGAAAATGAGTTTGACAGCCCTGTACTAGAGGGTTGATTGGCTGATCTTTAGTGATGAAAGCAAGGGAACACAGGAGACCTGGCCACCAGATCACATCTTTCAAGGGTAACCTTCTTAGAGGCAGTAAATGAGCGTGCAGACCAGCGCTTACAGGGACTCATCCGCAGCTACCAGCCACGCTCTCCAGAAAGAAGCCTCTGCTTGAATCCTGAACGGTGCCTGAAATCAAATTTGTTCCTGCTGCCTTGTTTATCCCTCACAACGTTTTGTTGTTTTGGTCCAGAAACAGAAAAACTCGTGCTAGAGGCAGGCAATGGGTTGCCGTCCTGGAAATTCAACGACCAGCTCTTTCCCTGCGACGTGTGTGGGAAGGTTTTTGGCCGACAGCAGACATTGTCCCGACATCTCTCACTGCACACAGGTGAGTCAGGGCCTCGTAGCGGTGCCCTCCCCAGTCCGGATGCCCAGCTTCTCTCTTATCGAGAAGCTGGGAGAATTCTCACAGGAAGTGGAGGGCATGTTTTCATCCCAGCTTCTTCAGGCCATTTGACCGGCCAGGTTCAAGCAGAGCCCTGGGAAAGGGTTTTTATTTGTATCCAAAGGACTGTTAGAGTTCAAGTAGGATGGATGGGGAAAGATGCACACGTAGGCATATCTGGGTAAAACTCCTCGATTCTAAGGCATGTACTGCTCTTCTTGGCCCTGGGGATGGGCCTGCCTGCCATCTTATTGGGCTCCTCTTACTGTAGGTGGGCAAAGGAGGGACACAGCGCCTCAGTGGAGGAACAATTACTGTCTTTATTTACATAAAGTAGTAAAGATTCTGTGTGTTGGGAGAGGAAAACAACCAAGTTAAGGAGTAAAGGAGGAATAAATGTTAAATTAATCAATGCAGAAAAATCAAGTGAAGGCGAAAAGAAACATGGTAAAGACCCTGGCTGGCTAGCTCAGTTGGTTAGAATGTTGTCTGGCTATGCCAAGGCTGCAGGTTCAATCCCTGGTCAGAGCACAAGAAGCAACCAGTGAATGAATGCATCAGTAAGTGCAACAACGAATCAGTGTTTCTCCCCCACCCTTCCTCCTTCTAAAATCAATTTTTAAAAAGTACGGTAAAAAAAATCAATTGGGAACATAAACTAGGATGGAAATAAAATGACGGTTTCAATTTTTGCACTGAAGGTCAGACTTCTTAAAAGTTCAGATGTAGCTTATTTATAGGAAAGGCAAAACAAAATGATAAAATAAATAGAGGTTTTGCTTATCACATGAAATCAAAAAGAAGGCAAGGCAGGCAGTATTAATATGGCCAGATTAATTTTCTTTTTATACATATTTTATTATTTTTAATCTTAAATATTAAACCGCCAGACAAAATTTACTCATATCCTTAGCCACAAAAAAGTCTTCAATGTTAGTGGAGGCTTCAAAGGGCCACACATGCCGCATGTACTTAAGTGAAATTTAAAGTAACCAAAGGCCAATAAAATGTCCTGCTTAATCTGCTCAAAGAAAAGGAAAAACATCAAAACACAAATTTCAGACATCCAGAAGGAATGGAAAAAGGAACACTTCATGCCTGCGACAAACAGTCTCAGTTCCGATCAGAGGAAAATTCAGAGGCCGCCTCTAATAATGATGGTGCCTCACGTGTGTTGTAAAAAACCTCTGTGTTCTTCCCAGAGAAGGAGGTAAGACAGGTTTGTTCGTTTGTTTAAGGCGAGCTCAGGATTGCAAAGGAAGAACAGCAAGGATGGAAAACGAGGCGGTTTTTGCCTTCCGCTCCCATCCGTTCCCTTCAGCGGCACAATAAGAGCAAAGCCTGCTCCTTTCTCTTTAATTTGCCTGATTAACCAAATGAATTCAGACTGCCGCTCTGGAGACAGGCCTGAAACACTGTCAGTTTTAGGAGAGACTTTCCATTAAGGAATTAATTGAAATGTTTTATTTTATTTATGCAAAATGTAAATTTTCTAATTAAATTCTTTCACACAGATCTTTTTTTTTTCTTTAATTTCATTAGGGTTTTTTTATATGTCTTGGCTGACCCTGGCCTGGGCTTAGAGAGAATGATGGGGCTTCTTTTACACACCCGTCCTATGAACACTGTGTTTCCCTCCCCCACCCCCAGCATAGCACCCACCCACCCTGGCACGTGGGGAGCCATTTACATACTCACGCAAGACATACTATGCTTTTAGCTCATCTTAGCCTGTGGGTGTCCAGGAGAAAGCAGATGGTCCAGTTGCCCTGGGACTTTCTTTCATCTTTGGAAGTATTAATACAGGCGTGCCCTGCTGGGTAAAGGCTTTTTAGATATTTACAATTCCAAGGCCTTTCCTTTGTCCTTACTTGAAACAAGACAGGAGCCCCCCTTTCCTGGGAACCGTGAAGTGGTCTCTTGCAAGGTGTTGGGATTTCCTTTCTGAGGTCAGCGGGGGTCCTTTCCTTTTCCTTTTCCCCCAGAGGAAAGAAAATACAAATGCCACTTGTGCCCCTATGCTGCTAAGTGCCGTGCGAACCTGAACCAGCACCTGACCGTCCACTCGGTGAAGCTGGTGAGCACAGACACTGAGGACATTGTCAGCGCCGTCACCTCTGAAGGCAGCGATGGGAAGAAGCACCCTTATTATTACAGGTGAGGTGCAGCTGAAACCCGGTGGGCCAGCCCTCCCGACACGCCCTTCCCATCTGCGAGGTGGACGCGGACATGACAAGGCCCCTCTGCTCAGTCGGTACATGTGCCTGCGTTTTCCGTGCTGCTTTGCTTAGATTGGGCCCTGCAGCTGCAGCGGCTCCTCTCCTCGCGTGGGTGCCCTGGTGGAATTCATTGAAAGGGAAACAGCCTTGAGGTGGCTCCCAGGGGTGGAGCCGCAGAAAGTGGCAGGGCTCTGGGGGTGATTAGCGTATAGATTTTTGTGCGTCTAGTCAGCTCCTCCCTTTGTAACTGAGCACCTCGCTGCTTCCTGGGGATGTCCTGAGGGGAAAAGAAACTGGGACAAATAAGCCTGAGAACCCTGAGGCAAGTGTTATTTTCCCTGAGTCATGTTGTCCTTCAGCACCTGGATTCTATGGTTTTTTCCCCATACCCTATCATAAATCCGTATTTGGTTTGGTTGCCATAAAACCCCAAGTTTCAGGCTTTTTACCCAAGCTTGTCCACGAGAGAGGCCATACGGGTTGGTAGAAACTTGCTTTTGCATGAAATGTCTCCATGGACATGGACGGGTGGCTTCTGCCAGGACTTGTCGCAGGCAGGAGCGCCGTCCCACGACCTGTGCTTTCATTCCTGCACGGAAGGCAGTGGAGGCTCGAGGGCGCACAGGGACCGTATCTTGGCAAGGCTGCTCTGCATCTTTTTGCCCAAAGGAATCCGTTAGGAGACGTGCAGCATCTGGAATCTGTAATTTTTAATTACCTTTACGATGATCTGGCATCATTAGAGCATGTGTGGGATTGTCTTCCACGCTGGCACCAAATCCTTTTAGCACAATGACCACCGCCGGGGCGTCCCAGAGAGCAGAAGCACTTCCTAAGGCAGCGAGCCCTTCGGCAGCAGGACGTGGGTATGAAGAAGGTGCGCTCGCTGTGCGCACTGAGTGTGAACGGGTAGCCTCCATTTAGAATATCACTCCTCTTTCTCTCCCCTCTTTCCTTCATCACGCATATAGCTGTCATGTGTGTGGATTTGAGACCGAGCTCAATGTCCAGTTTGTCAGCCACATGTCACTCCACGTGGACAAGGAGCAGTGGATGTTTTCCATCTGCTGTACCGCCTGCGACTTCGTCACCATGGAGGAAGCAGAGATAAAGGCTCACATCAGCACTAAGCACACAGGTGACCCTTCCTGTCAGTCCGTCTCCTCCGTTCCCCGCCCCCCCCAGACTGCCTGCGCCCCAGGCAGAGCCATCCTCATCGTCACGGGACACTGACATTCCTTCCTCATAAGGAAGGGCATCCCCCAGGTAACAGAAGCACATGTCCCTGTAGCCACTGCGCCATGGCCAGGCACAGCCTGTGCACCGGCTGAGCTGTTGGCTTGTCATCACCAGCATCATGGTGACAGCCATTAAGCTCTCCCATTGGCAGGGGCTGGCACCTTTGCAGGCTGAATCCCACGCAAGCCTCGTAACGACCCTCTGAGGCCAGGACCACTGCTGCCGCACGGTAGGGGCCGAGAGCCAAAGCTTAACAGAGGTGAGGTGTTCTGTCCCAGGCCAACAATGGGTGTGATTCCAAAAACTCAAGCCAGGGCAGTTTTCACCCAGGAGATGTCTGTCTGTGTTGCTGCTCTTCTGGCAGCCCCACACGACCCTTGGCAAAGGCTGGGCCTCCCTGGGTTGCTGGGCCAGGGCACCGCACACCTACCTCTGCGGGCTCTGCTTCTCGCCAGGAAACCACAGTCCTGACACTCTCCACAGTGACGCGTGGCAGGCCTGTGCAGGGGCAGAGAAGCCCAGAGTCTCCTGAGAGAGCCCAGTTACTCCCTTGGCCACGGCCCGAGACTTTGCCAGTGCTCGCCTTTCATTGCAGACTCTTGCCATCCTGGTTAACTTCTTCCATTTAATGATGTTAACATTTGACTTCACTATGCAATTATCCTCACAAGTGATGGTTACAAATGACACCAGCGTGGAGTCATTATGTGAGAATGAGGAGGAGCTCTCTGCGTCTGCAGTGCTTACAAATTACGAGCTGATGTTGCAGACTGCAGCCCCGGGTGCTGGGTCGGCCCCTCACATTGTCGGCACTGGAGGGATTCAGGAAGCCGAGTGTCCCTGACAGCTGTGCTGACGATGTGCGTGGCCGAGAAGGGTCTCTCTGTGTTTTCCTGGCCGCCTTGGTTCCGTGGTGCCAACAGCAATAAAAGCTTGTTTGTGCCAGCAAGCTGAGCAGCTCTGACTTAGAGGTCCGCAGAGAGCCGTTCTGCTGAGCGAGAAGGTGTCATTCTTACAGTCGGTTGTCTGACCATAGCCACATTAGCACCACAGGCTGCAGGTGAGCTGGGAAACCCACGTGGAAGACAAACGACATTCAGCCGTTCTGGAGTGGCGCGTGGAGGGACAGGCCGGCCTCTCTCCCATTTCTACTGGCTTCTCAGATATTCTACTTTATCATCTCGCTCTCTCATTCTTCTAACCTTCTCCACACCAAAGTACACCCAAACCCAGCCAGCAACTTGCCTCCTCCTCCCCCCTCCCCAGCCCCCTCCACCACCTTCCCACCTCAAGAAAACCATAGGACCACAAAGGCTGGAAAGAAACTGGACTTACTCCCCACTTTTGTGACTCTCCTCTAATGTGATTGACGCATCACAGGCACAGGCACCTTTTACTCTAGTGCCCTGGGAAATCTGCACTGCTGTCTTGCTACCTACATGGAGTTGTGATCTACAGGATGAGCTTGAATCAGCACAGAACGTTTTTATGTGGCCTTTCTCAGACTTCCTTGCTGGCTACTCTTAGCCAGGGTGCGTGTGGATGGGGTGCGAGCAGCTGTCTGCAGAATGTCCTCCGTTTAGGTGTTTTTGCAGTGGTCCCTCCTTACTGTCCTTCTCCCACTCCTGGCTCCTTGTCCCTGCAGGGAGTATTAGCAAGGGGGAAATACTCCCTCTGGCGCTCGTGTGGCTTCCTCAACTTCCTCAATGCAAATTTTGCTGCAATTTTTAAATGTAATATTGGCTTTGAGGACTTTGAATAGCTATTTGGGAAATACAACCATCAACACCTAACCTCACACTGACACCAAAATAACTCCCACAATCCTTGTATACAAATCTGGCCTAGAAAGACTTGAAGAAAATAGACTGGAATGTTCATCAAACACAGTGAGAAGGATTTGTAAAAGCTTACAGCATGACAAGAAATCACAAAGGAAAAGAATCAAGAGATTGGACACATGAAAACTACTTTTTTTTTTGCAAAAGAAAGGAAGAAGAGAAGGAAACTTCCCCCACGGAAAACATGCATTCTGAAAATGTGTTTGTAAAAAGGACCAAAAAAGCTAATACATGTATATAGAAAGTTCACCTGCTGAGAAACACTTTAGATCTCTAAGTGAAGAATGTACAAAGAACGTGAACAGTCAACTCACAATACAATAACAGGTAGTCACTTAATAACATAAGGAAAAACGTGCAACCTCACTAAGCAGTCAGAGGGAGGTCCTGAGTGGTGTGTGTTGATCTGTCCAGTTAGGAGCACCTTTTATAGTGTGGCCCAGTGCTGCCGGATGCTGCTGGTGGCCCTGCGCCCACGGCCCTGCAGGCGGTAGAGCTCGGGGAAACAGTTTAGGTGATATATACCAAGAGGCTCGAAGCTGCAGTGGTGTGGGACCCAGTAATCCCACCTCTGGGAGTGTGCCTGTAGGGAAGGAAATCTGCCAGCAGAATGGTCATTTTAACCTAAAATTTAATCTTAAGGAAACATCAAAGTAGATCAGTAGGATAAGTCCACTCCTTGGGTTGGCAGCACAGTGTCCCTGTATTTTCTATCTTAACACAAAACAGTGGGGCAGCATTGAATTGGTTTAGGGAGAATTGACATCGTAACAATATTGAGGCTCCTGAACCATGAATAATATAGAGCATTCATAGTCTTGTGGTTTTTTTATTGTTGTTCAAGTACAGTGGTCTCCATTTTCCTGCCACCCATTACCCGCCTTTCCCACCCCCACATCCCACCCTCAGTCCTGCCCCCCTTTGGCTTTGTCCAGGGCCTGATAGCATACCTCCCCCCATCCAGCCATTAGGTCCATTATGTTATTGTGTATTTACTTACATATGTGTTATAAACCTTACATTATTACTGGGTTTTAAAAAAAATTAGTTTTATAACCTTTTAAAGAGATTTCAATAATAAGAAAAACCCACATATTGACCCCCGTGGTGGTTCTTCCTTCTTCTGTGCACGTCTGTTTTTACATCTGGCATCATTTTCCTTCTGCCTGGAGAATTTCTTTTAACAGTCCTTGAAATTCAGGTCTGCTGGTGATGAATTGTTTCAGCTTTTTTATGTCAGGTTTGGGGTTTTTTGCCTTTTTTTCAAATATGTTTTCATAGTTGTTTCTTCATTGCTTTAAAGATGTTGTTCCACTACTTCTCACTTGCATTGTTTCCAGGGAGAAATCTGCTGTCAGTCCTTATTTTTGTTCCTCTGCACATGATGTGTCCTTTTTCATCTGGCTGTTTTTAGGATTTTTCTTTACTACTGGTTTTGAGCAATTTGATTATGATGTCCCTTGTATAATTGTCTCCATCTTCCTTGTGCTTGGAACTCATAGCGCCTTTTGGATCTATGGGTGTACGGTATTCCTCAAACTTGACAAGTATTTGGCCTTTTCAAATATTTTTTCTGCCATCACCACTCTATCAGGGACAACAATTAAATTTATATTAAGCTGCCTGAAGGCCTCCCACAGTTCACTGAGGCTCTTTTTATTCCTGTGATTCTTTTCTGTTTCATTTCGGATCATTTCTATTGCTATTATCTTCAAGTGCACTGGTCTTTCCTTCCACAGTATCTAAATTGCTAGTGATCCCATTCAGGGTATTTTTCATCTCAGACATTGTCATTTTCATCTAGAAATCTGATTTGGGTCTTTTTTTATATCTTCCACTTCTCTACTTAACTTTTTGAACACATGGAATACAGTCATATCACTGTTCTTATGTCCTCATCTGCAAATTCTGACAACTGGGTCAGTTTTCATTAGGTGATATTCTCCCCATTCAGGTTGAGTTTTCTTGTTTCTTTGCATACCTAAGAATTTTTATTTGGGTGTCAGACATTGTAATCTTTACCTTATTAGGTACTGTATATTTTATATTCCTATAAATATTCTTGACCAGTTAAGTACTTGGAATCTTTGATCCTCTCGGGTCTTGCTTTTATGACTTGTCAGATGTGTCTGGCACAGTGCTCCATCTAGGGCTCATTATTACCCACTACTAAAAGATCCTCCCCAGTTTTCTACCCAATGCCCTGGGAATTACGAGTTTTTTCCAGTCTGGCTGGTGGACACAGGCACTGCTCTCCAAGCCTTTCATATGGCTTTTTCCCCTCCAACACATGCTCCGACCCGTAGTCTGCTGAATACTCACAGGAGACCTTCTGCGGTCCTCTGAGTTTTTCATCTCTGGTGCTCTGTCCTGCAAGGTCCAGCCATGCTCATCTGCCAGACTGTCAGCTCTGTCTCTTCAAATCAGCACGTGTTTCGGGCTCCACCTCCATCCCCCCTCCCTACACTGCAGCCTGCAAGGATGCAGGGCAATTGTAGGGCCCCCTCTTTTCTCTCCTGCCTCCCAGGGATCATTTTTTGCCATTGCCAGATGTCCAGGATTGTGAAAACTATTGTTTGAGGTGTTCTGTTTTTTTCATTGTTTTATAGTGATGGTCAATTCCATCCCTGATACACTATGTTGATTGGAAGCAAAAGTCTACCAGCACTAGATTTTCATGGTCTGTTGATAGTTTACCCCTGGCTTGGAGGGAGACTTCAGTGCACTGATGAAGAGCATGGATTCTGGAATGAGACCAACTGACTAACCTGATGGTGCCTCCCTTCCCTCATCTGTAGAATGGGGTGACAATAGTTGTGCCTCAGCAGTCATTGTCAGAGAATAAAATGAGACAAAGCAGTGAAAGCATGACCCAGTTCCTGGAACTTGGTAACATCTTAGCTATTATTGTCATTTTTATTTTAATTATTGTAAGGCCTCCATAAACACTCATCCAATGAATGAGTGCCTGCTTTTGGTCCCAAGTACCGTGAATGTCATTGCCATGGGTGACTGGGACCCGGGATGCCAGTGGGTGTCCCGGAGGAGCGGGGACCCTCAGCGTGTGCTCCCTGGGTGACGATGTGGCCATGAGGCCCTGCCCCACCCCCCACTGCTGCAGTTCTAGGGTTTGTGTCTCCTGAGGGACAACCTTGCATTGTTTTATTCTGTAGGGGAAGACATGAAGACCCCGAGTGAATCAAACAGCCCCTCATCATCCTCCCTGTCTGCTCTGAGTGACTCTGCTAACAGCAAAGACGACTCAGACAGCTCCCAGAAAAACAGGAGCGGGAACAACCTGCTGGTCATCTCCGTCATGCCTGGGGGCCAGCCCTCACTGAACAGTGAGGAAAAGCCCGAGAAAGGTAACGGAGCAGGTGGGTTGGCCTGTGCAACCCGCCACCCCTGCCCCCCACTCTGGAGGGATGACCCCCTTGTCAGGAGTGGTGTTGGAAACAGGGACTGGGTCCAGGAATGCTCCTGTTGGCTCGACCTGCACCCAGTCTGGGGTAGAGGGGCGGGGCGTGTGACACTGCCTCCAGAGCTGTCACTTCTTTACACAGAGACGCAGGGAAGAGTGCTTGGAAGGGTGTACATTGGGGTGAGGGGTGCAGAGAGGGGGTCTCGGCCCTGCTCCTGCCCTCCTGGCCCTCTGCCCCATGCACCTGTACACCTGGCTCCGGTCCTTCCAGGGTTCGAGTGCGTTTTTTGCAACTTTGTCTGCAAGACGAAGAACATGTTTGAGCGCCACCTGCAGATACACCTCATCACCCGGATGTTTGAGTGTGACGTGTGCCACAAGTTCATGAAGACTCCCGAGCAGCTGCTGGAGCACAAGAAATGCCACACTGTCCCCACCGGTGGGCTCAAGTAAGGAAAGCAAGTACAGAACCTTTTACTGTGTTGTTTTTAAACACCCCTTCCCCACCCTTCCCCCGCCCCCTTTCCTGAAGGTTCTGGGGTCACAGAGAGGGAGAACTGGGCACAAGGGGAGTGCGGCAGGCACCTCGGCTGCCTTCAGCTGGGTATGAATTAGGCCTGTCCCCAGGGGGCCGGCAGACAGCAGCAGGAGAATCCATCGCACCAGATGGCTTGTGGGAGCAGACCAGCACTCGGGGGTAGGCTCCTCCTACACTGCGTGAGTTCTGTTCAGACTCGATATTAGTGTGCTTGGGCTGGTGTCCCCAAGTGTAAGTCATTACACTGTCACTGCAGTTCTGTTTTTCTAGGTGATTTGCCACACATCTTTAAATAAGCATTTCAATCACTCCATCCACACCCCTCCCCAAATACTGGGACTTGGCCTGTTTGAACAGGCTGGAGACTGCGTTTTTCATGCAAGGCCCGTGTGCCTCCTGAAACATCCCTTAGGCCTTCCCGGGAGCTGGCTTTGGGATCTCCCTGCCTGAGATCTGACCTTTCAATCACGTTACTCATAGGTCACCACCCCCGACCCCCACACACAAAGACCAGGACAGTTAGCATCGTCACTAACCAGTATTTGCAAGAAGCCCTCTGGTCCGAAGTGAGGCTGATCAGTCCTTGCCCAATGCACTGTGCATCTGGCTTGATAACCAGTGCCAGAGGGCAAATGAGGAATAAAACCTAATTCCCACCCTCAGGAAGTTTATGTCCTGCCACAACCAGAATTGAATTTGCCAGCGATTCTGAAACTGGGTCCCTGTTCACAAGGCGCTCAGGGGCTAGAAAAGAGGAAGAGGCGTACGTCAGGCCCAGAAAGACACACCATTTTCAAGGCAGAATTGTTCATGTTCAGCTGAAATGACTTTGTAATTTAAAAGAATGGAAAATTACATTTTACTTAATGCAAGGGTGGGGGGAACCTTTTTAAAACATTTTGATTTTTGAAACTCACAACTTGCCAGAGGGGTGGCGTCACTGTCCTGAGTGGGCGTGGGCTGGAGAGACCCAGGACCCTGGGAGTTGAGCGCTGGGGGCCACGCAGCAGGGCCTCCCTGCAGCTCCTGCCTGGTCGGACACCCGCCCAAGTAGCAGAGCTGGGGAGCAGCCCCTGCTGTGAAATTCCATTTTGTTTTCCTCTTGGGGATGCTTAGGTGGGAGGGGGAAGGGGGGTTCTCCATGAATGGGGGAGGGGTGGTTATAATCCAAGACGACCAGGACACTGGGAATTCGATTTGTTTTGTTCCCACTGCCCCTTTCTAAACATGTGTGCACTCTTATTTAAAAAGCAAGGCCATGTATTTCTGTGGTCAGACTAGTGCCCCTTGCCCTTCCCAGTAGCCCTGTCACAGCCACCAAGTCTGTGGCCGGCCGGTCACGGCCCTGCCAGCTAGCCTCTCCTCGGGGACCTGCCGGTCCCAAGCCTCCGAGCTGCTGGGGAGAATGCGCAGTGAGCGCTGATGCTTTTGCCATACACACACTTCCCATGCGGTGCTAACGGTCCCCTGTGTAATAGTTTATGTTCTAGGATGGCCAAGTAGAAGAATACTTTGAAAAAATTGATTATGCCTTCTGGCTATACAGTGAGTCTTTGTTTTCGTTTCGTTTCGTTTTGTTTTGTTTTCCCTTTGCCGCATCAGAGAATTAATTTGCCTGAGAGAGTGCCGTGAGGACCAATAGCGGGGGCCCCGCCACACCCTTAGCGCTTGCCCCAGTCACAGAAACGTGCTTAAAGTGAAACAGACTGCCGATGTCTAAGTTGCTTTTCTGTGATGGAACTGCTTGTACTCTATATCCTGTTCATAATGCAGATCGAATAAGATTATACTATTATTTTTCTTTTGCCGTAGCTCAGGACAGTGGTGAGTTTCAGACTCCTCTAGGTAAGGCCCAGCTTGGCGTAGGGGTTGTGTGTGCACCTGACCTGGGAATGGGCTTTTATTTCTCTCGTGTGCACTCTTCTGTGAGCTGAGGTTCCAAGGCTAACGGCGGGCTGGGTGCTGAGGAGCAGTGCACGGTGCACTCGGTCGTGCTGGGCTCTGCTGAACACCTCTCCAAACCCTCAGGGGACACCTCACTCCGGGGCCCTGCCCTGCAGGCCCTCCCGGCAAGAGCTGAGGCAGCCACTTTTGCATTTGCATTCTGTTTTTAAAGAGAGCAAACACGCTACAGCTATCATATCAGCCACTGACTCGAGCCTGGCAGCTTCTCAAAGAGCAGAGTTTATTAACATGCCCCCACCACTCCTCCTAGCCCCTCTGGACAGCCAGGAGGCCTGGGGGGAGCGTAACCTCACTGCATAGGATGGAGAAACCGAGCCATGGAGAGGCCCGGGCTTTGGCCCAGGGCGTTTCCAGCTAGAGCCCAGTCAGGTGACGGAGCTGGGACCAGAATCTGCCTAAATTACATGTAGGACCAGCCCAGTGCCTACCATGTGCAAGTACTTACCAAGCACTATACACAATGCAAAAGAAATGTAAGATACGGTCCTGCCCGCTGAGAATTTATGATCCAGTTGGATTATGATTATTTCCATGATGTAATAATGTATGACCGATGTCTTCAAGCATCAGATAGCAGGTGCCCCCTCTCCCTCCTCATACCCCACGAGTAGGTGGGCTGGTGGGTGGGCGTCCTTCTCCCACGGGCGTCCTGGTCCTCACCTTCCTCCCCGGTGGAGAAACAGCCGTAGGAGACCGTTGCTATGAGTACAGACCTGTGTCCACACACACACACTCACACACACATACACGCAGGCCTTCTCCTCCTAACCACCTCTCATAAGCACGATTCTGACCCTACAACTTTCTGTTTGCTGGAGGTAGCTTTCCCCCTGTAAGCTGTTCTTTAAAACTCTTAGCCTTTCTGCGTGTGCTTGGTGTGGTGCATGAAACGTCGATTCTTTGTGTTGCTCCCATCTAAAGGGGAGGTCGTGAGGGTTAGACCTCTGTTATGTCCAGTGGGGGGCAGGGAGGGCTCCAAGGGGCCGGCGGGGAGGATGGAGGGGAGCCATAGCTAACGTAATTCTCACCCTTTCTCCGCTCCCCCTCCTGAGGGTCAGTGTCTGCTGCTCCCGCCAGGAGACTCAGAGCAGGCTGAGTGAACCTTGTCAGAGCTCCTCCTCCGTGGGGACGGCTCTATCGGGAAAGAGAGCCCTAGGGGGTCATCTTAACCCCTGTGAGGCAGCAGGGCTGGGCTGGGCAGGGTCAGCCAGGCCGCAGGGTTTCCAGGGTGGCTGGTGAGGAGGGTGGAAGCGGGGTCACGGCAGAACCTGTCTGGCTGACCCCCCCGTCACCGCTTCCCCCGGCAGGTGCCCATTCTGCATTTACTCCACCAACCGCCCCGCTGCCATGGAGTGCCACCTCAAGACCCACTACAAGATGGAGTACAAGTGCCGGATCTGCCAGACGGTGAAGGCCAACCAGCTGGAGCTGGAGACGCACACCCGGGAGCATCGCCTCGGCAACCACTACAAGTGCGACCAGTGCGGCTACCTGTCCAAGACCGCCAACAAGCTCATCGAGCACGTGCGTGTGCACACCGGGGAGCGGCCCTTCCACTGTGACCAGTGCAGCTACAGCTGCAAGCGCAAGGACAATCTCAACCTGCACAAGAAGCTGAAGCACGCCCCACGCCAGACCTTCAGCTGCGAAGAGTGCCTGTTCAAGACCACACACCCTTTCGTCTTCAGCCGCCACGTCAAGAAGCACCAGAGTGGGGACTGCCCCGAGGAGGACAAGAAGGGCCTGTGTCCAGCCCCCAAGAAACCAGCCGGTCCTGGGGCCCCGCTGCTCATCGTCGGGAGCTCCCGGAACCTCTTGTCTCCCCTGTCGGTCATGTCCGCCTCGCACGCTCTGCAGACCGTGGCCTTGACGGCTGCCCACAGCAGCAGCTCGGAGCCCAACCTGGCACTCAAGGCTTTGGCCTTTAATGGCTCCCCTTTGCGCTTCAACAAGTACCGGAACTCGGATTTCGCCCATCTCATTCCCTTGACGATGTTATACCCCAAGAACCACTTGGATCTCACATTCCACCCTCCCCGACCTCAGACCGCGCCTCCCAGCATCCCCTCACCCAAACACTCCTTCCTCGCCTACCTGGGACTGCGAGAAAGAGCGGAGACTGTCTGAGGGCAGCCGTGTTCTGTACCAAAAACGAAGGGACAGAGACAGAAAAACCCACAAAACTTAAACACAACCCCAGCAGGTGTATGTTGCTGCAAAACCTACAGACCCCCCGAGGGTCTGAACCACGTGTACTGTATATCTTTAGTAAGGAATAGAGAACTGGCTCCGTGTGTATACCTATTGCATTGACCTGAAAGCTGCTTTATCCACCCTACAGAGAGGTGACCTACTGCGTACATCTACCTTCAGAGGCATGCCTCCCCAGCACCCACACCCACTCTCAGCCCTTCTCCATACTTTATCTGAAAGGAATTTTGTCTTGTTAAACCCTAAAGCGAGTGTCCTTAATAGCAATCAGCACTTGTAAGCATATATACTGGTGCATTTTGTTTTCTGTTGGGTGAGTGGGGTGTGCGGGCGTTTGTGGATTCTGAATGAGAAAGCCGTGTGTCGTGTGCCATGAGATTTCTATTGCACAGTTTTTGTCCTGGCTTCTTTCGCAGCGATGAACATGCTGTTCCCTCCTGGGTTGTTCATCCACTGCAATCTCTCCCCGAGCTCCTCCTTCCCCTTCCCCCGTTTTACGGCTACAGAGTGGTAGGGCCTGGTGCTTGGTCGATGAAGGAATGGTAGCCGCCCACGGTGCTGCTGGGGATTTCCGGCAGAGGAGACCTGGTGCTCGGACCTTTGCAGGTGAGGCAGGCGCGAGACAGCCAGAGTCCGACCTGGAGGGGATACCCTGCAGCACCGAGGCTGACACCACAAAACCTAAGTGTGTGTTGTGTTCATACGTACACAACGTGTGTGGCACACACGCGGCGCCTCGTTTTTTTTTAAGGGCAGATTATATATATATATATAAAATGATGTATTAATTCAGTGGTTACCATTTGTTTGCAGGAAAAAAAAAGTGTGAGTGAAAAAATTTTATGGTTGATAAATCCAGCCAAGGAGATTAAAAAGGGTTTGGATCAATTCTGGGTATAAATGCTCAGACTAAAAAAAAAGAAATGGCAGTTTTGCACAGTGCTTTGGTCTTGCACTAGTCTTTGTTTCTCATCTGCAAAAAAGGAAAAGAAGTAAAACGAAAGGAGGAAAATGTACCTTTTCTATGGAACGAGTAGATTCTCTGTTTGGAAATCTTGTCACAGCCTCGTTGACATGTACCCACCCACCCACCAGGTGCTGTCAGGTCCCACAGCTCTGTCCCCGCCCCGAGAAGTGCCCGCTGTGTTCGCAGGTCGCAGGCTCTAGTGCTAGTCAGTTTCCACATTATTGATGATTCTATAATCCATTTCATTAACGCCTGGTAGATGTAACCTGCTAGGAGGCTAACTTTATACTTATTTAAAGCTCTTATTTTGTGGTCATTAAAATGGCAACTTATGTGCAGCACTTTATTGCAGCAAGAAGCAGATTGATTGGTTGCATGGCCCTTTGCTCATCTTTAAAAGTAATGGGCGATTTAAAAAGAAGAGAAAGAAAAGAATCTTCGGCTGAATATGTGAATGGCTTGTATTTTTTAAGACAACAGAATTTCCTGTACGAAACAGGCTGAAAGAGCAAAGACATGTGCTTTGTACAGTGATGGGAAGTTCAGAATGTAAAAGTTTATGTATTATTTATCTGTTGAAGAACTGGTGGTGTGCAGGAGCAATGCTTCTTACTGCGCTGCTGTTTCCCATCAGGTGTTGTCCTACAGGTGGGATTTTTTTTTCATCTGTTTCACCAGGGGAAAATGAAAGCAACCCTGATTTTCTCCCTCTAGTCAGTCCACTTCACTGAGAGCCCCCTGAAAGGGGTACACAGTTGTGCAGGAAACCAGAAGACTGTACCTCCTGTCCACACCGTGGTTCCCCGCCACACACCCCCTCCCTCCCCCAGGCCCAGCGGGTCTGCTACACTTCTTCCCTTTGCCAGTCACCTGGCCCTGGCAAACCTGTTTACACTAAGGAGACGCCCCGGGGGCAGGGAGGCTGAGCCAGCCAGGGCGGGAGGCTCCTGCACCCTCGGCCATTCTCCAGCAGACTTTTGTTCCCGGCCATGTTTGAAATGCCGATCAACCTCGCCACGTCAATGTCTCAGTAAAAGACACTACAGACAATGATAATACACTCCAAGAATACCGGGCTAATGGGTGGGTTGGTTTTCTTTCTTTTTTTTTTTTAAAGTTATGTCTTTATCCCCATATAATGGAGAATGTGCCACTTGGCTAATCATGTGCTTTCAAAATTACAAGTTCAGTGAGGACAGGGAAGAGGGCCACGGTGACCCCACAGAGGCCAGCAGGAGAGGTTGAAAACCTGAAAGGGTGGCCCTGACCATGAGGACTGCAGTTTTACAGCCTGCCGCTCGTGCAATAGGAGGTCCTAGGCTGCAACTCTCAAGATCAGGAGGGGTGTTGAAGGAGATTCACTGTCCAAATACCATGCATTTCACAGCTTGCCACTGAACTTGTATTTGAATGACTTCATTATGCTTAATGTAATTGGGCACCTTTTTTAGCACTTTGGAAAGAGTCATCAATCTTTCTGGTAAATTATAAACGTTTTCTGAGTGAGAAAAGGTGTGTTTGGAGTTTGTTTGACTTTTTATATTATTATTATTATTATTGTTATTAATAAAGAAAAGATCTACAGCATTTTTCAGACTCCACTGAGATACTATGTACCCCTGAATTTGGTTTGCCGTTTGATACTCAGGGAAGGATGTATTCTATGGAAGAGGTCCTTTCCGCGTAAAACACTAACGTCTTTGAGAAATTCACCTGCCAACTAACATCAGTTGTTTTCACTATGCATTCTTCAATGAAAGCTAGCTTATTTTTCCATATAGTAATGCAGTTAGTGTTCTCAGCACTTTCCTTCTTCTGTCCTTTTTTTAACCCCTCATATTATGCTCAGATGATCATACTATCAAGGTTTGTGTACATTACTGAAAATTTGTATTGTATAAAGCTTTTTGCATTACAAGGCTGTACAGGGTCATTTTGACAGTAACTGGTATATTCCTTTGCATCTTATGTTGCATTGCCAATTTCTAGTGTATCCAGTTTGGAACTATAATATACTCTAATTAAAAAAAAAAAAAAGGTTGGCTATACTCTTGTTTCTTCTTCTTCTTTCTTGGTTACCATCCTTGACTACTTGTTAGTCTCAGGGCTTGGTTTGTCTTGCATTGTTCTGATTTTTACTGTTCAGTGTATTTGAAATAAGTTGAGGAAATACCCACTACTAGTTATAACTATTGCAAAATGCAGATTTTGAACAGCCATGCTATAATGCAGACTGTCACTGTGGAAGTCATTTAATTAGTAGCCATTAGGTCGGGAGCATATCCATCATCCAGTACAGTGGCAGGTCAGCCCCTTCCTGAAATTGCTTAGTGACATTTAAAAGTGTCCACCAGCCTTACCCTCTTCTGCTTGACATCATTTTAGTGACCCCACAGCCAAAGGGGCAGGGGGTGGGGGGCAGGGAACAGAAGGATAATTCTATTTGTCTTAATGAAGTGTGGCAACTGTGAGATTGTAATGGGGCGGGGGGGAATGGCATGTTTTGAAAGCTAAATAATAATCTATCCAAATACATTTAATAGTCCATTCAAAAGAAATTACCAGAGAAAGAAACTGAGGCCAAAAAAGAAAAAAATACACTGGGTTAAAACAATTTTTTTAAATCCATTTTAAAATTCTAGTGTTAAGAGAACTTCCCCCCATGAATCTATGGTGGTTGATAAAAAAATGTAAAGCAGCAAAGTGATATTTTGCCTGGTTCATAACCTGCAGGTTTATAAATATAATGTCCTCTGCTCATTGCAAGAAACTATGAATTGCTTTGCTCTAACATTCAAAAAGGTCAAATTTACCTTTTACAAAACGAGATAACGCAGGAAAAGCCACTTTGACGAGGACTAGTCACTGATCCCACTATTTCCCCTTCATTTTTTTCATCCAATAGCTATTTTTTAGGTGATTAAATCAAGTTCTCTCACTTGATTCAAATTCCAGTTTTGTAGTAAGGGGGCTGGTATTTACTGAAAACATTAAAATAAGCCAGAATTCTTTGTGTTTTGCTAGGACTATAGGCAGAAGTGAGTTTTTTATTTCGCATACATATTTTTGCCTGACACTCCCCACCCCTACGTCACATATTTTTCCCTGTGGTTGAGAAAAGCCTAAAATGTAAAAACAATCATCAATTTGGTACTTGCCATGGGCTTGCGGTGACCCTGAAGAAGGGCTGGGATGGGAGCCCTCTGAGGGAGCGGACCCCCCTCTCCGGTGCTCACTCACCCAGAAAAGTCTACATGTGCGCTGGGCAGCTCCAAGCCAGTCATACGGCCTGTGAATGTAATCCAAGATCGAACTTCAACTTTTCCTCCTGTCACGTTAAATAAGTATTTTACGCTGAGACTCATGTTTTCTGTAATGGGTCTCCGTCTCATTGGCTCCATTTGGGCACCACCCCCAAAACTGCCCCTATAACTGAGCCACACTTCCAGTCACGTGAACGGGGGAAACACACGAGGGCGTGGTGAGCTCTGGCCTTGCTTTACCGAGAGTCGGGGGCGCAAAGGGCGGGGTGGGGCTCGTAACAAGTTGAGGGGAAAGGCTCCTCCTTAGCTGCCGAAATGCTGAAACCAAGTCACCTCGTGCTTTTGATCCACGGAGAGGAGAACCGAGAGGAGCTCTGTGCTCCTCAAATGGGTTGGGAGGGAAGGAAGGGAATGCATAACAGCTGAGTGATTTCATCTCTGCTTCCCAAAGGCAGAGAATGGAAACCTGGAATCCTTTCTCACGTGGCCTGTGAGCAAAACCCAAGATAATGAAGGGCACTGGGACTCCACTCTAAGGAGCCACCCACCACAAAAATACAAGAGACCCCAGACAACATTCTTGCTGGTATCACTCTCTCAAAGCAGACCGGCCCCACAAAAATTAGGTTTTACTTTGCAAATAACTCCAATTAACCAGGAAAGCAAACACGCACAAAGCAGGCCCTGGGCGGAGTAAAGTGTGGTGAAATGGGGACCAAGGGCTCTATTCTGCCGGTCCAGGGTCTGAAAGGTCTCAAGTTCACCATGGAGACCACATCACTGAGGTAGGAAACCCATCCACCGCGCTAGCCCCTTGGAATTTTTCAATCACTTCTTGGTATTTGGTAGAATTACATACCTAAAGTAGAGAATCTACCTCAATTCATACTTCAAATTTCCCCTTACAGTAGTTCTGCAAAAGGCTTTCTACCCTATTGAGAGTTTCTAGGTTACAGGTAAGGTTTTCCAACTATGAGGGACATCACCATGGAGTCAGATCACCTGAGTTTGAAGCTTATCTTGGAAACATCTTTTAAAAAGAGGTTCAGCCCTGGCTGGTGTGGCTCAGTGGCTTGAGTGTTGGCCTGTGAATCAGAGGGTCGCTGGTTTGATTCCCATGCCTGGGTTGCAGGCCAGGTCCCCGTAAGGGGCATGGGAGAGGTAACCAGCTGATGCGTCTTTCACACATTGATGTTTCTCTCCCTTTCTGTCCCCCTTCCCCTCCCTCCAAAAATAAATAAATAAAATCTTTAAAAAAATTAGAAAAGGTTGAACTAGCTAATGTCTCGGGGTCTTCCCCAGCTAACAGATAACATGCAACATACAGACAGTCTTCACTCAACATCATCGGTAGGTTCTGTGACTCAAGCAAAGTGGCCTATAAAGAACTTCACCACAGGATGAGTGAAGTGAGAGTTGAGTTCCTACAGCCCAGCACCAAGGTTAAAGCGAAAGGACATTGGACGAAACACCGTGATCTGCAGCCTTGCTGTACTGTGATGCTGTGACTCTTTCTAACCAAGCGCACGTCCACTTTTTGAAGCAAAGCTGGTCACAAAGCTGCATCTTTGCAAGGCAGTTATAGTAAAAATGGCACCTTAGCATTTTCAAGCCACAACAGACTGAAAGGAGAAAAGAAATGGCTAAAAACATTTTTCTGCCCACTTCACCGGTCTAAAGTCTTTCTCTTGGGAGTAAATATGAAATCATCATGCTTGGTTTGCCTACACTTATCTTGAGGGTGGCTTCGACATGTTCTTCCAAACAGTGGGCACTTCCTCTGGCGAGAGGAGTCAGGGATGGCCACGTGGGGGTGCAAAGACTCGCCCCCCTCCTCCCACTGCCCACCTGTTTCTGACCCCCTCCAGGGGACACGTGCAGCTGTGACCACTGAGAACTCTGCCGACCACGTTCCCACTCTTTTCTGTAGAAGAGCAATTGGTTTCTTTTAACAGGTAATGAAAGACGTTTTAGTTTTAATACAAGGTCCAGCACAAATAACACCCTTTTTATTACAAAATCTTTTATTACAAAATCATGAGCATGTCATTCTGTAACATAACAATATCACACTCAAGCTCACCATATGATATTTTAGGTGAAACGTTCAAATTAAAGCTATAAATTATTACACCCATATTATTACCCTACCAACCACACTCAAGCAGGCCTTATTTCTGCCGGACCCAGTATAATGAAAGAAAATACTAAATATTCTTATTCCGCCACTTGTTTAAAAAAGCTCTCAGCTCAAGAACTCAGCTCTAAGCTCACGAAAGCTCCCAGGCACTTCCACTGTGTGGCAAGACTCCAGGTGTTGATGGAGACCCAGGTGAATGACTATCTGTCCCCAGCATCCGAGGAGCAAAGCCAAACATGTACGCACAGGACAAGGACCAAGGCCATCCACCTAGCTATCCCCAGCCTGAATGTAGGGTTCCCCTGAAACCATCCCTGAATGGTGGGTGTCTTTCCCAGAGATTTCTGGATAAGAGAAGCCATCCCTTGGCTTTGGTGTTCTTAGTTTTATTTTACCTGCAATTCTTAATTAATAATTGGCAGACTTTTCAGTGTGTATTATAAAGGGTCACCAAGGCCCTCTCCCACTAAGTCCCAGTTCAAGCAGAATGTCTGTTAGATCATTCTCCATGCGGTGGGTTTGATCAGCATTTGCAGTCTCAGTTTGCCTGTCTGTCTATCTGTCTATCCATCCATCTATATATCTTTCTATCCATATCTATTTTCTGGGTTTCCCTAAAAAGCAGAATCCTGAGATTTATTTTGGAGAGCAATTGCAGAAACAAAAGTGGGGAACCAGAAAAAGTGGTGCAAGTAAGAACAGAAAGCCAGCCCCAGGGTGCCCTGGTGAGCTAGTCTTGGCAGTGGGTGCCTGGGGCGCCGTCCCTCGGGGCGCCGTGTAAATGAAGCTCTGAACCCACAGCCCAGGGACAGAAGGAAGAAGGGGCTAGCCCAGTCCAAGAAAGTGTTCGTTCCTTTGCACTTCCAGCTTTGCCCATCATTCCGAGCAGCTGGGTAGTTTCCCTCAGGCAGGCACAGGGGTGGCAAAGAGGCCAATGGTGCAGAAGGCAAGAGATGCTTAGGGGAGCTGAGGCCAGGTGCCGTCAGTTACCCTTGACCCTGACCAGCTAGGGCTGGTTGTTACGGCAAAGCCTGGATTAAGAAGGTGAGTTTGTAAAGTGAGGAACAACAGGTTTCGAATGAAATTACCATATTTGGCAAGAATGTCATCATCAGCCCTGGCTGGTATAGGTCAGGGGATTGAGCAGGGGCTGGGAACCAAAGGGTCACCAGTTTGATTCCCAATCAGGGCACATGCCTGGGTTGCAGGCCAGGTCCCCAGTGGGGGTGCGCAAGAGGCAACCACGCATTGATGTTTCTCTTCCTCTTCTTCTTCCTCCCTTTCCCTTTCTCTAAATAAAATCTAAAAAAATGTCATCGTCACTTCAGCTTCTACACCACTGTTGGCTGCACACCCAACCTCTCTGGTTAGCTCGAAGCTCTTCTCCGTTCCCCGGACAGTGGTGGGTCATGATGCTGAGGAACAGAAGAGGGGACACATGAGAGTAGGTAAAGGCTCTCTCATCTCTGCGACACTCTGTGGAGTCCTCCCTTCCTTGGGGTTTGTACTGGGGCTGAGCTCTCCTGGGATGCCATGCAGGGGCAGTCCCTGAGCAGGACCTGGGCTGCCGCCACCCTCACAGAGGTCCCTTGCCTTTGGAAAGCCACCCGAGGGCCCGAATGAGGCCAGAGGAGAGGAGCCAG